TCATAGCTTGATTGAATATAGACCTCAGGATCTTGCATCTGTATAAAATTCTGACATTTCCTGATTAATCATCTTGTCAATCACTGATAAATGTCCTACGGCAGAGGCCTGGAACCTGTGGCTCACCAGATGGTCTTCGCCTCAGTCAGCATGGCCAATAGGAACATAGGATGATATGGAGTGAGACCACTGGACAATCTAGAATCATAGAATCATAGAGTTGGAAGAGACCACAAGGGCCATCGAGTCCAACCCCCTGCCAAGCAGGAAACACCATCAGAGCACACCTGACATATGGTTGTCAAGCCTCTGCTTAAAGACCTCCAAAGAAGGAGACTCCACCACACTCCTTGGCAGCAAATTCCACTGTCGAACAGCTCTTACTGTCAGGAAGTTCTTCCTAATGTTTAGGTGGAATCTTCTTTCTTGTAGTTTGGATCCATTGCTCCGTGTCCGCTTCTCTGGAGCAGCAGAAAACAACCTTTCTCCCTCCTCTATGTGACATCCTTTTATATATTTGAACATGGCTATCATATCACCCCTTAACCTCCTCTTCTCCAGGCTAAACATGCCCAGCTCCCTTAGCCGTTCCTCATAAGGCATCATTTCCAGGCCTTTGACCATTTTGGTTGCCCTCCTCTGGACACGTTCCAGTTTGTCAGTGTCCTTCTTGAATTGTGGTGCCCAGAACTGGACACAGTACTCCAGGTGAGGTCTGACCAGAGCAGAATACAGTGGCACTATTACTTCCCTTGATCTAGATGCTATACTCCTATTGATGCAGCCCAGAATTGCATTGGCTTTTTAGCTGCCGCGTCACACTGTTGGCTCATGTCAAGTTTGTGGTCAACCAAGACTCCTAGATCCTTTTCACATGTACTGCTCTCAAGCCAGGTGTCACCCATCTTGTATTTGTGCCTCTCATTTTTTTGCCCAAGTGCAATACTTTACATTTCTCCCTGTTAAAATTCATCTTGTTTGTTTTTGCCCAGTTCTCTAATCTGTCAAGGTCGTTTTGAAGTGTGATCCTGTCCTCTGGGGTGTTAGCCACCCCTCCCAGTTTGGTGTCATCGCAAATTTGATCAGGATGCCCTTGAGTCCATCATCCAAGTCGTTGATAAAGATGTTGAATAAGACCGGGCCCAAGACAGAACCCTGTGGCACCTCACTAGTTACTCTTCTCCAGGATGAAGAGGAACCATTGATGAGCACCTTTTGGGTTCGGTCAGTCAGCCAGTTACAAATCCACTGAGTGGTAGCATAGTCAGCTAGCTAATCTAGCTTGGTATTGTGGCAGCAGCTCTCCAGAGTCTCAGATGGGGGCACCCTTTCCAGCCACCCCTGATGCTAGGGGTTAAACCTGGAACTTTCTGCATGCAAAACAGATGCTCTACAACTGTGTTTCCCTCAATGGTCAGGAAAGGTGGGAACTGTCACACTGGACACTGTGTGGAAGGCAACAGGTTTCCCACCCCTGCCCTAAAGCATCTGCTAAAACAACTTGCTAGCATTGTGTATATATATGTATGCTCAGGGGGTGCCATTTAACTTGTCATCACTTTAAAGATGAAGAACAGTTTGAAACAAAATGCCTACTCTTTTCAGTTGAAGCCTTAATAAAAAATACAATGAAACATCGTATCTGTTTTGTGCCTCTAACTCCCTGGAATCAATAGCAAGAAAAACCGCTCAATCTGTGTTGCAATTCTGCCCACCTTCCTCCAGATATATATTTGTGTCTCTTCTCAAACTAAGGAAAACATAAAGTATATGTTGGGATACAATTAATTGCTTCAGACCTCATTTTGCCAGCTTTCGATAATTTCTCATGAGCTTGGAAAATTCACTTTCAAAACTGCTGCTGATAGATCTCAAAGTGCATCTTTGAAAAAGTGCCAGTCACTTGGCTGTACTTTTTCATTAAATGAATGGAAACTGGATATCTTGGTCAGCTGGAAAAATCACATGCATTGTATGCTCTCCAGGTTAGAGCTTTTCCTTCTTGGCAAAACAAAACCCCTTTTCTACTGCAGTCAACAGTTCCATTCCATCTAGGTCTGATTAAGTTCAATAACTGCAATATAATTATTTGGTGGATCAGGTTGATGATTTTCTTCTCAATGGACCCAGAATGTTCCTGCTCTTCAGAGGCACAGAACTGAAAGCCGTAAATAGTAGAAATGCTATTTGAGCTCTGGCAGGGTATGGAGAACACTAATAATACATTCCACAGTACAGGTTGTGACCCAATCTATTTCAAACCATAGGGTGCCACTCCCCGTGTCTGAAATATGAGGTGAAGAGGTCATCACTGAAAAACATGCTGTGAATCTCTGTGCTATAAAACACCTTCTGTACTGAGCAGCAGTGACATATGTGAGTGTGTGAATTGCCTTGTAAGCTGATGTCGATTGCTGCCAAAACTTCCCTGTTGACCTGCAATGCAGCAGGTGCAGGTGTCAGAATGAATGACTGTTGACACATTCTAGCACCATCTTCCTGTGACAGGATCACGACACTGCTCTGTTTCCTGTGGTGCATCAGATGTATAAACTATGAGGGTTAATGTGTGCACACATGCAAAAAGTCTTGCAATAGTGTGGCAGCAAGGATATTCACATGTAGTCATGTTGAGTATTGTTGGATGATAATCACCTTTGTGTGTGTGTGTTTCTTAGAATGTCATTTTTTGTATAACTCATCACATGCTTTAGTCATCTTACCCACTGACCCTCTGTGCACATACTGAGTTTCACAAATCATTGAGATAATTAACTATGTGTATAGCACCTTATGGTCCAGTCTCCCAGGTGCTTTATAATCTTATGTACAGATGGTAACATTTCAAGAGTATTTCAGTCACAGTTCTCATTACCCACACCCCAGTCTTGCAGGAGTAGTAGGTGAGTTGAGCTAGATGACAGGAGACTCACTAACTAAGAAAAGCCTTGCTGTGATGGAAAATCATCTTCACTTAATCCATTAAAAAAAGAAAGAATGATGGGTGCATAAGTAAAATGAAGGTGCTTTATGTCTGGGCAGTACTGAGTGGGAACAGCAGGGAAGGTAACCTTGTTTCTGGTCATGATTTTTAAAAGGTTTGTGCATGGCTGCTGAGGAACACTCATCCTGGAAGCCACTTTCTGAACATGAAAAGATAAATGCTCTCAATCAGTATCCAACAATTGCCTGGGCAAGGTTGTGGCAATAGCAGGGGATATGCCTCTCGTCATCCATGATGACACAACTGCTCAAGCGACCACACACACAGCAGCCTCAATAGCAGCAGAGGCACTGCTCGAGGGAAGCTTGCATTTAACCAGCAACCTCCGCCTGTGCTCTGTGAGTGCTGGTTGCCAGCAACAGTAGCAGGGCCTAGAATCCATGGAAGGCAGCTGCAGCCCCTGCAGTCAAATGGTTATGCGATCTTGCTTATTTATTTATTTTTCAAAACGAGAGAGATCTGTGCACTGCCTATAACTTCTGCAATAAAGCTAACTCCAAAGGAAGGAGTCTGTGATATATTAGCAAATGGAAGCCATTCCATTCACTGGCTCTACTGAAGACACATCTTATGGCAGAGCAAGGAATCTTTTCTGGTGTTCCTGTGTAGGGACAGATCCCCAAAAGCCAGGACTGCAGAGTGGAGTGCTTATGCCAGAGCTGAAGAAATTCACAGTGGAAAGTCTCCAGATACCAGAGCGGAGCAATATGTGGGAAATGGAAGGGGGAGCATGCAACCGGGTGGGATAAGTGGTTCATGGTCTAATTCCAGGTGGGAGCAGTCAGAGCTGATGTCCTTGCCAGGACAATGAGAATGCGATGCTTGCACTTACGTTGGAAGGGGCTGTTCGGTGTATCCACTTCTTGGGAGGTTATGTCCAGGTTCAGCAGGGACTTAGTGGAGGAGGCTCTTCCCCCATGGCAGGCAATCAGTGGCCCAGGAGGGAGAGAAATCACTGGTATGAGGTAATTGTTGAGGGGTGAGAGAGAGAAGTCCACTTTCCATACTGTTTAATGATCCCTCCCTGCCATCCTTCAATGCATCCCTCATGGAACAGAGTTTGTATTGCTGTGGGGTTGTCCCTTTGGCCCTTTCTCCTTCTCCTCCTCCTCTCAGGATGTTTCCAGGCAACCCACTTATCAAGTATTCCACCTGAAACACTTGAAGGGATGTTAGGTGACATGTCAAAGCGAGTATTTTCCCACCCTTTCCACTGCATTTCCCCCACACTTGCTGTAAAGCAAAAAAGTGCTGTCTTTTGAGGAAGGAGGTATGTGGCACAAGACCTCCCAATCAGCTTCAAATGCACAAGTATAATTTGCTAAGATGGGATTGAATACCATCCAAGAACAGCAACAGTCAGAGAGTGCCGTAAATGGTTTTTCAGCAGAACTTGTAGCATCCACCAATATTAACTTCTATTTAAACACACACACAAGCATTTTGACTGTGTGCCACAAGATGTATTTATGATTTGCTTTCACCAGAGAGGCATGGGGTTGAACCTCTGATCACTTGCGGGAGGTAAGCTGTTGTGCCTTGCATGGGAACTGGAGTTGCATCTACTAACATTTTCCAAGGGGAGCAGTTTAATCTGATATGCAGTTCAGCCACAGTTGGGACATATCTTGCTTATTTCTTGGCAGTGTCAATTTGCATGGCTTCCAGTTCATGTGTCTCTTATTTGTACTTCCCTGTGGTTTCATAGCTCTGTTGTGGAGCTGTATATGCCAACATGAATGTATGGACAGGAGGCAGAGAATGAGACCACATTTTGCAGAGTTCTTCAGTTGGTGCGCACAGGGCCCACAACTACAGGAGCTGCTGGTGTTACATGTATATTCTCTGGTCCCAGGTGGAGTGAAAAATAGGAGGCAAGGCCAGCAGGAATGAGCCCTCTTTGCCTATCAGTTCCCCTTGTGTTTTCATATAATTGTAGAGTTGAAAGAGACCATAAGCATCATCTAATCCAATCCCCCACAGTGCAGGAATCTTTTGCCCAAAGTGGGACTCGAACCCACAACCTTGAGATTAAGAGTCTCATGCTCTACCAACTGAGCTATCCCAGAACACAAACTCTGCCACCAAGTAATCCATGAAGGGCAACACAGAATGTGTTGCAAACATGCTCCTGGGTTTGCAGGGGCTGGATATTCTGGGTCAGTTTCAGTGCCCTTTAGGCATGCATGTGAAGGGATATGGTTTGTTTTGGGTCTTTCCAAATGCAACTTTAAATTTAAAAAATAATCATGGAGAGTGGCAAAATTATGCATCAACACATGCCAGTCATAGTTGCTTTTAAATTAGTATCTTTTGAATTGTCTGCCATTTCCTATCAGTCAGGTTATTGATCTGCATCTAGTTAATTTTAAGGACTGAGTGGTTGGCCAAAGTGTAAACAAGAGCAAAAGAACAAGAGCAAGTATCATTTGATCGAGGAATAGAAGGCAAGGAAGAAGGTGGCAAGGGAGGTAATAAGGCACAACAAGCTCCACTAATAGGTTCTAGCTGGGATGTTGATTCATGACATATCGGTGCAGACAGCTTTTTCAACTGTAGCAAATTGAAACAAAAGGTGTTGGCCCTTTTCTGGCTGGTATATTGTTTAGCATGGTGAGGCTGTGACTACACCAACTCCCTGATGTTTTCATATAGGCAGCTGCATATCAGATGTGCGGTTCAAATCAGCACTGATCCACAGTGAAGCCCTAGTGCTCAGAAGGCCTGGGTTAACTCTGTGCTCATCAGAGCAGTGAATATCTCAACAGGCACATTGCTTCTGCCTATGTCATAGTAAACAATATATCATCATCATAATGCTGGGGTTGGGGACAGAGATCCCATCTTCCCACTATGTTGAATTTGCCAGCCTGCAGAAATCTGCAATGAACCCATTTTTGTGAGTTGGTTCATCAAGCCTGCAAGTGTCTCCCCCACCATGCATCTGGTTGAAGGCTCAAAAATCAGTTCAGCAGGAAGCACTTGATAAAACCCACCCCTCAAGCCAATGTGGTCTAGTGTAGGGAGGGGGGAACAAATTTGTTTGATTCACATTTTAATGAGAACCTCCCTAATTCGCACTTTCTAAACTAGAGGCAAATAAAAACTCAGCTTGCCTTCCTTCCTTCCTTCCTTCCTTTCAAAATTAACACTTCTCTGAATTTTGCATTGCACTTCTCTGACCTAAAACTGTGTATCTTAGGCGAAAGGGCACACAAAAATGCATATATCCATCAAGTCAAAATGCTTTATATATGGGGAAATTGCTTACTTTACTTGGAGAAATGGGCAGAAAAATTTGCATGGATTTTGATGCAGACTTTTATAGGAGGAGAAGAGAAATCCTGAAACTGGACTGGAAACTGGATTAGAATTGGAGAGAGACTTGGCAAAAAACTGAAATTGATATATCTGTCCATCCTTGAAGCTTCATGGGAGTTCTTTGACCAGTCATTATAGCCAACTTTGCTCATTGCTTATAAGCCACATTTTAAAAATGTGAATAGCCCCTGCACAGGTTTTCTCTGTATCATGGGTGCCGGACCTGTGGCCCTCCAGATGTTGCTGCTACAGCTTCCATCCATAAGAATTGGCCATGCTGGCTAAGGGTGATGAGAATTGGAGTCCAACAACATCTGGATGACCACAGGTCGCCTCACCTGCTCTAAATTCTTTGGGCCTATCAGTAAGCTGACCATTTATGGTGCGATCCAATGCATGCTTACTTGGATATATATCCAACTGGGTTCAATGGGGCTTACTCCCTAATAAGCCTGTTTTAAGATTACACCTTAAATCCCACTTGGTATAATCGGATTACCTATTCAGTGATTTGCTCACCTAGGAATGAATATGGATTGGATATACTGGGACAATGCTTTCCCTTTGTAAGAGCCTAGATTAAATCTACAGGCTTCTCCTGCTAGAAAGGATAACTTGTCTGGAAAATGCCAATTTGGCCAGGCTTGCTCTGGTGTTAATTGTCACTAATGAGCAGGCTATGGAAGGCTTGGCTCTCAGAGGCCACTGGAGATGGAATGTCACATCATCTGGAGAAGAATGCCCTTCAGTAGTGTTGGTTTGGCAGGAGAGCAGCCGTGACCTCAAAGCGGACTACTTTAACTGCATGAATGGATTTGTTATCAGAGAATGCCTCTATTCTTATACCTAGCATACTCTGAGCTCGTGCTTAATGCTGATTGTACTGCAGAGAGCACAGAGTGTTAAGAGGATCTCCTGTACTTACTGTACACAGATGGATTTATTTATGTCTATATTGTGGAGGCTGAGGGGAGGGCGAGAGAAGAGACTCATTCTGCAAAAGGGGATAACCCCCTCTGGAGGTCATGTTGCCCCTCATAGCTGGCTCATGCCGTAAGACACTTTGAATCCTGCATGACCGCGAAGCCCAATGCCATGTTACTTGGCATTGCAGCCAGGGGCCTGATAGTTAGCATTGCTCCTTAGTGGTGATGAAAGCTATGGTGAGCACTAAACGCCCATCTGTTACTGCAGTGCCTCCCATACTGACAGCCTTTCATCTTTCAAAGTCTGGCTCTTGGGAGTTTGCAGAAATGGAAGAGGAAAGGAATGCAAGGGAGAGAAGGAAAGCAAATTACGCCTTTGCTTAAACCCCACTCAAAATCTTATTTTAAACCTTTTCTTTTTTTCAAACTCATTTCTAATGACTTTTTAAATTTTTATCTAGTCCTTTTGACTATTGTTAACTTTTCTCAAAAAAAGCAATTTAAAAAACACATGCTTACTTAAAACTGGTAAGAGATCATTGTTCGCGACAAGCTTTGCCACATGATTGACTAGTTCATGACGCAACACTGACAATGGGCTTTGGTTTACCGCCCCCCCCCATTGAACATATCTAGTAGGGGTTTTGATACAAGCAGTTGTGCTGAGTGCTCTTATGCAACACACACACATTTAGAATGCCATGTTGATCTAGGATTATTTTACATATATTTAACGCAGTCCTTAATGTAGGGAGTCATGTAGGGCTATAATACACATGCATGATTCCCTGTGCAAACTAATACAAGGAACTCATAATATGGTCCTGACTTTCTATAATGTAGGTGCACAAGGGATGAGGGAGAAATCCTAGTCAATTCCCATTTAAAGGCAAACCTAACTAATTCAAACTTTATGAAACAATACGCACACCAAAACCACAGACGTCAGTTGAAATTTGCATGTTTCCTAATTTTGCAATGCATTTCTCCAGCCAAGTAATGCCTACATATATGCATATTTTAGTGTCGTATGTGCATAAAAATTTATATTATAATAAAATTAGCATACAGAAATGCATCATATTAGCAAAAATAAGCTTTGCAAAAATGTGTATATTAGGCAACGTTATATGTGTATAGTAGGAGAAATTTGCAAACTGATGTAAAAATGTGGAGAACTGAACTTAAGATTGGAAAAATTAGAAACTGAGAGAAACCTAAATTTACATGTTTGCTCATCCCTAATGCACATGTGGCAAGCTACAAAAATGTAGGATTATCTTGTGTGGAACACACAAGCAGGTCTCAGGTGATTCTATTGATGTGGAATGGGCATCAGTTGCCTCTTACGTTTCTAAGAAGCTGCCTTTTATGTCATTCTGCCCCAGTATTGTCTGCTGTGATTGGCCGTAGCTTTCCATCTCCTGCTACTTGATTCTTTTAACTTTTTCTTTTCCATATCCTGCTACTTGATTCTTTTAATGCCAGAGATTAAACCTGAGAGCTTCAGCATACAAAATGTGTGCCATAGCACTAAGCTATGGTTCTCTAAATGGGATTTATGCAACTTGCAGCTCCGAAGTGCCTTCCTCCATTCAGGAATTTGTCATGTATGATGTGACCCTAACTCCTACCATGTTCCTTGTCCATTTCTCCTGAAGACCCTCTGATGATATTCTTTGCGTCCCAATTCTTCTATTTAACCCCAGTCCCTTATAATCTAACGTGACATGAAAGAAATGATTGAAAATTAAATCTGAGGCTGACTTTTGTTATGCTTCCCAGGGAAACCATGTAAAAACTCTTCTTTGCAAATCAAGGAAAGTCTGCACAGGCATTGCTCTAGAATCCTTTTGTTACCAAGTTTCAGAGCGAGCATTGAGAGGAGATGAACTGATGGTGTCTCTCTTCCAACTCTTTTAACATCCTATGATTCTGCTAGCATTTATATTTGGATTCTCCAGCAAATTCTGCCTGCAGGGAGAAGACAATAGCAACTCTGCAGCCCATCCGTTTGTGAAGCTCTGGCGACAGAGTGCTGTGTACAAGACGGCACTTGGCTTTGAAAAAGCAGGCCTTATGTGCCACCAGGAAGCCTGTCACTTTCGTACTGACAGTTCCTCGGCCATTAATCTGGAATGCGCACAAATTCCTAGTTTTCTTTCATTTCATCGCCCTCGTTTTTGTTCATTAAAATGGCTGAGATATTTCACTCAGCAGCAATTATTGAGCAATAACTCTTTCCTCAGGAGTTTTTCCAGAGCTGATGCTCTGCTATCTGAGTGTTCTCTTGGGCCTTCTCCCAGGCAACCAACCCTTCTGCCTCCTCCTCCTCCATTTTTTTCTGTTAAAGAGTCATGTATCATGCCCAGAGGCTGAGCGGCTGAGGCAGTTGCTGTCTCAGTGCAAGTAGCTGTTTTCCATACTTGGCATGCAGTTCTTACAAGGACAACTTGATATAAAGGGGAACATCCCCTTTGGGCTTTGGATATTTCATTAGAATAAAGTGCTCAAGTGGGGTGTTGTTTTCCAATCCAGCTGACAAATTTCAGCTGCTGTTTCCCAACCCTAACCCGAAATATTTCTATATATTTTCTTAACTCTCTTGTTTCTCTCAGCTCCATTTATAGCCCTGAGGACAAGTGACAGGGCTGGTTTGGAGAGAAAGGAGCTGAAAGTATTTTTGCTTCAGTAGTTTATGGCAAATCCACGCTCTAGATTCCACTCATTTTATTTCAGTACTGGTCTCAAATTCAGCTGTAGGTCTCCATATTTTGAACTGAGGAATAGGCAACAGTTGCCTGTCTGTTCTTTGTGGCACTGT